TTAGTATTCTGAACAACTTTATGAAGTAGGAACAGAAGTACAGAGATTGTGTGACTTGGTCAAGGGAAGTTGGCTTCTTCACAAGAGTCAGGAGACAAAGCTAGCTCTGCCTCTGGCTCCTGGAACAGCAGTATTTCCTCTATTTGGTATCTACACCAAAAGAAGAATGGCTGAAACATGAACAAACAAGTTGGGAATGCTTAACCAACAAGGCACTTATTTGGGAGGTGATTATTCATTCAAGTGTCTGATGACTGTGCTGTAGAAAATAGAAATCATTGGCATTTTTCTGGCTGTATGAGGGAAAAACAAGACTAACAGCGAGGTAGAGTCACATTCAACATAATGAAAATTATAGTAAGTATCCCATCACTATGAGTTTTCAAAGTCATAATGATAATAGTGATAATATGAGAGTTAGAGGTCCCTGATTCAAGGATGGTCTCAGACAACTACTGAAGCCTGAGTCGTAGTCTACAAAGTGGAATACTAAACTTCGGTCTGCCTGGTTCACTGGGCTTGTAGGCTTCTCAACCTAAGTGACAAAAAAGTATATTTGCAAATCATATAGAGCCAATGATGGGATTCTTCAATATAGATCAAGATCAAGATTTCTGAGCACTAAGCCTTTGTGGCAGGTGGTGGGGAAATAAACAGAAGTGAATAATAATGATAGTTTACTCATTCAACAACTTAATGTTGAGCAGCTTTCATGACTTCTTTACTGCGCTGTGTGTTAGGGACACAATTGGCTTTAAGACAGGCTCTGGACTATACTCACAGAGCAGCAGATAATGTAGATGTGTTAAATTTGAAGGTAACAAAACCAGAATGCTCCATACAAGTTAAAGGGTTCCATGGGGACTTACCAAAGTGCACTAACTAGATTAAGAATCTCAGAATGCCTTCCTAAAGAAGGGAAGTTCTGCGATACAAGCACAAAAACCAAAGAAGTACTCAGAATAGGGAATCTGGACACACATTTATCAGAATCAAGGTAGATTTACTGCCCAATCCTGAGTGTCACCATCATAGTTTATTGGGGGGGGGGGGTCTGGTCGTGGGGTCTGAACTCTGGGCCTGGGTGCTGTCCCTCAGCTCTTCAGCTCAAGGCTAGCGCTCTACCACTTGAGCCACAGAGCCACTTCCAGCTTTTTTCTGTTTATGTGGTGCTGAGGAATCGAATCCAGGGCCTCATTCATGCAAGGCAAGCACTCTACCACTGAGCTAACTTCCCAGCCCTCACAATCATAGTTTTGACATACATTTCCATACCAGTACATTTAAAATGTATCATTACAAGCAGATGACTAACACTCAGTACAATAACTGGGAGAAAATGGTGAGAGAGAGAAAAAGAAGGAAAGCCATATGAATTTGGTTAATTTGGCAATTAACAAATAAAATGTACATATGGGCTCCAAGCCCATCCTTATAAACAATGCTTCTTAAAATATTTTAACATTTCATGACTAGATCTGAATAATGTATATATAAAATATTTTTTGTATTTAAAAATACCTTTAGTTGCACAATGGATTTACATTTGACAAAGAAGTTTATGAATACATTGTATCTGGATTAATTACCCTTTACAACATTTGAGGGTTTTTGTTTGTTTCACAAGTGAAGCTTTTTGAAGAGTAAAAGATTAATCTGGGCACTGGTGGCTCACTCACTAGCTACTCAGAAGTCTGAGATCTGAGGATCATGGTTCAAAGCTAGTGCAGGTAGGAAAATCCATGAGACTTTTACTGCTAATTAGACAGCAAAAAGCCTGAAGTGTAACTGTGGCTCAAGTGGTAGAGCTTTGAGCATAAAAGCTCAGGGACAAAAAAAAAAAAAAAAAAAAAAAAAAAAAAAAGCTCAAGAACAGTACACCAGCCCTGAGTTAAAACCCCAGGACTGGTAAAGAGTAGAAGACTCATTATCCTATCTCCTTATCTCCCATTCCTGAGAATCTAAGAGTTATAGTTACAATAGTTAGGAAGCTGAGGCTATCTGAAAGCTGATGAGCTAGCCATACAGGGCAAGAAGAGTTGCTCTAATTCTGTTTTCATCACTACTTTGTAGGATGATTCACACAGGTCATTTTCCCTCCAGAGCCTCAGTTTCCCCATTTATAAATTCCTTTTTGCACTAGTTGTATGACTTTCAAAAAGGACTCTTCAGCTCATACCCCCACTCAGGCAAAAGTGGGTCCTTGAGGATATATTCTTAACATTTTTCCCTTGTGGTACTTATTATCGCTTTATCTGGATGCATCAGAATTTTTTTTTTTGCCTTGAACTCCAGAAAAGCAGAGACTCAGTATCTACAGCACTACAACCCTGTGCTTTAGTGTATTCTTAAATACATCAGGATCTCAGCAAACATTGTCTGAAAGACAGAAAATCATCATCCCCACCCAGCCCTCTAGCTTATTATCTCAACTATTGGGATTTCTTTAAGAGTGTTTGTGAGAAGTTCTGTATTAGACAAATGTGTGGGTTTTTTTGTTTATTTTATTTTATTGTAAAGATGCTGTACAGAGGAGTTACAGTTATATGAGTAAGGTAATGAGTACATTTCTTGTCAAGCATTGGTTTTGTGTGTGTGTGTGTTAACATTCCCAAGGATCATTTGGGTCAAACACAAAAATGATTACCACCATAATCCCACAGTTCAACAAAAAAAAAGTATCTTCCCTTTCTAGGGATTTAGAAAAAATGAGGCCCAAATCAAAAGTTAGGTGAAAACAAAGTTTGTTGTCAACTAAATTTTGATAATGGGGATTAGGGAACTCTTCATACAAGAATTATAATGATAATAGCTAATCTACATAAAGTACCTAAAATGTACCAGGCTGTCCTCTAATTACCTGACACACATTAGGTCATTTAATTCTTTACCACAACATTGTGAAGTACATACTGTTATTGTCCCACTTTTATAGATAAGGAAACTGAAACGCAAAGGAAAGTAGCAATGCTCCCAAGAGCATGGATCTAAGTTCAAGAGTTGGGATTTAGATCCAGGAAGTCATCTTCAGGAGCATTTACAACCATGCTATCATACTGTGGCATGTCTATAAGCCAAAGCTATTTTCAAAAGTGAGAAGTAATGGCAGTACTTAGCAGAGTCACTGGATTTACTTTCATATAATCAAATGACATGGATATATTTATCCAAATCTGAAGTAGATCACCGGAGTCAGGAAAAATGAGCAAAGGAGAATCAGGAGCATGGAATGGTTGAATCCAGCTTCCAGTTTAATAATACATTCTAGATAAGTCCTTGAAAAGGAAAGAACATAACCACTTAGGCCAATCTACATAGTAGTAAGAAAAAGGTATTTGAAACCTTGCTCTACCACTTACTAATGGACTGACTTGGGTTTATGGAATGAGTCTGAACCTGTTTCCCCAAAGAAGGGGAAAATAATACTCAGCTCGTGGATTAGACATAATGCATGCAAAACACTGGCATGGTTGCCAACATGTACTAAGTGATCAATAAACAGAGCTTTAATGACATAGAGGAAATGAGCACACCCGTAGATTCTCTCCTTTTTGAAATCTTGGCCAATACTTTTATTCTACCTTGTCCAAATTAATTGCTTTTTCCTTTGGCTCTTAAAGGAAGTCCCTGGAATTTTATTAGTCACTCAGTTTGAATCATAAAAGGTGAAGACATAGCCATACTTACCCTCATCCATTCCATACAATTATCATGAGCATTTTCTATGTCTCAGTGCTATGCTCAGCCCTGGGTGTTCAGTGATGGATAAACTATGGTTACCATCATCAATGGGTTATAGGCTTTTAGGATAACCTAGGACTGGTATGCCCAATCAAACAGTATGTTTTTTCCCCAATCAAACAGCATGGTTATTATTTTATCATATTTTTCCTGGGAAATTTTGATACTGTTGGACTTCCAGACACTCATGATTTAGCCTTTCTTTGTAAGATATTTTCAATTGTTAAAAAATTTTTTTGAGATAAAGTTTTGTTATTCAGCCCAGGCTACCCTCACTTGTGATCCTCCATCTCAACATCCTGCTGGGATTACAGAGATACACTACCATGTCAGGCTAAGTTGTTGCTCAATTTAGCTTCTGAAGGCCTTAATCTAGCTGAGTTTCACAACATATACCTTAAAGAATAATACTAAATGCTGGCCTAGCAAAGCCCCTAATGTTCATTTTCTGGTGGTGAAGATCTTCACTCTATAAAGCAAGAATAGAGCTCCTTAAGGTCAGCAATCAAGACAGTCTTGCTTTATAGCGGATTGAAGTGTGTACGATTTAAATGGTGACTTTTCCGTGAAGTCCATGAAAAGGGCTGTGATTGGGTACCCAGTGTCCCTCTAGCCTGTGATATGGAAATCATATATATATATTCTGTTTTCTGTGTGGAAACAGCCACCGATGGTAGACGTGACTAGCCCAAGATCACACAAATGAAGGACAGCAAATATTTTATTACCTCCTATACTGTCTGTAAGACACGATTCATTTTCATATGCCAAGCATTAGCTGAAAAAAAGCTTCATAGGCTTTTTCTTGTTTAATCTTCCAGACAATTCCATGAAGGATGAGGTGCCCTGATTTTTCCCATTTCACTGATGAGAGGAGACTGAGGTCAAGAGATTTTTCCCAAGGACATCTAGCTGTTAACTAGCCCAGTCTGTTGGTTCTCATTAGATAGTGGTTGACATCGGAATAACAGCCTGATACTTTACCTGTACATACCTACACCAGGAGCTAGTGGAAATCTAAAGAGAAACTGGGTGGCGCCTGGGTAGGACTGGGTGACAGTGCTTGGAGGGAGGGCCAGGGGTGGAGCCTTTGGCTGGAGGTTCACCACTGGCCTTCCAGTCGGCAAGAAAGTCCCACCCTCAGCAGAAAGAGTGCGAGGATTGGCCAAGTGAAGTTGATTGACGGAACAGAACACGAACTGCGATTCGAGCAACGGAGGCGGGGGTATGTAGCCGGAAGTGGGAGCCGAGGCGGCCAAGGCGGGCTGCCTGGAGTGAGTGAACGCTGCGGCCGCCACTTTGTGGAGGAGGATCCCGGGCGGCTGCTGGGACCTGAGGAGATGGAGGAGCCGGGGCTGGGTTCACAGGTGAGTGTGACCAGAACGTGGCTGTCCAGTGTCTGTCTTGTTTGCAGCTATGAGAAGGAGAGCGTGGATGTGCGGCAGCTCCGTGAGGGACCTCCGGAGGCGGAGGGGGCCGGGGAGGGCGGGGCTGGGAAGCCGGAGCTTGGAAACGACGAGAATGACGCTGGCAATTCGCTCTGGGGCAACCGGGAGGAAAAAGCGGGGGCCAGACGGGCAAGGGGCGGGAACTGGCAACCCGCGGCGTCCATCCGGAGGCCGGGGCTCCCCCTCGGGGATGGGAGCCGCGTCCCAGCCGTGGGGCCTCCGTGGATCCGGACGGGGATGGGGCGAGGTGTGTGTGTCGGGGGCGGGGGGCGGGGTGAGGTGACGTACCTGTGCTGGCCCCACGGGTCTTGACCTTGGCAGAGGGTCTGAGTGATGCAGGTGATTTAAAGGTCCCAGCCTTCCCCTCATTTCAGCTCAGTCCTGGCTCTTGTTCTCCAGACTCTCGATTCCTCCTTCAGAGAATTAAGACAATGTGTGTAGATCCAATGTGTGTGGATCAGCGGGTATATGCAAAGCCCCACGACGCAGTTCAGTGGAGGAGGCTCCTGTCACCTCAAACCACATGTAGAACAGCGGGAGCCAGTGTGGGAAGTTAAAAGAGGAGGTGGGTCTTGCTTAGCCTCAAGAGAACTAGAATCTTGTCATTTCGACTGGGCCTTTTTTTCCACTGCCAGGGATGCTGACTGCCAAGTTGTAGTTCTCATTAATTTAATAATATTGAATAAATGAGTCATTTCCAGATTTCAGCCAATTTTTAGTGAATGCTTATTATATATCTGATGCTTTTTAAACAAATTTTTATTGTAAAGATACTCTACAGAGGTTACAGTTACATGAATAAGGTAATGAGTACATTTCCTATCTAGCATTGTGGTACCCCCTCCTTTGTTTTTCTGCTACTATCCCTTCCCACCCCAACTCCTTGCCTGATGCTTTTATATGTATCATTTTATTCCAGAATTGAAGTATTCTTAAAAAAAACCTCTTTTAATCCAAATACTTAGGTTTAAATTTTCAAGCAATTTGAAATAATTTCAGCCAATTTTAGTGAATGCTTAATATATGCCAGATGCTTCTGAATGTACCAGTTTATTCCAGAGATTGAAATATCCTTTTTTTTTTTTTAAAAAAAAAAGACTCCATTTAATTCAAATCGGTGGTAGATTTTCAAACAATTTGGATAATTGGATTAATTGGATTGCAAAATAATTTCAATCCTGAAAGTGTTCCTGATGCTCTCAGCCCCCCTTCCCTTCTTTTAGCAGTATAGTATAGCTTTACTTGGGGAAATGTCAAGGTGTTCTTACTGGGTTTTCTGGAATTTTGAAAGAATTAAAAATTGTCTTAGGAGAGGTACATTTTACAATAGGGGATATTCTTCCCATGGAAACTCTGTCTCCTTTTTCTCACACAGCCTCAAAGACAAGTTGATTGGAGTAACTACCATGTTTTAATTACTGCCACTCATGTATAAATGCCTTCAAGGACTTAAAGTTCACTCCTTCATGAAGGAGAGATAACTCTGTTCCAGTTCAATGGCATAGGAAGGGAGAATGATTTGGAGGTTGAAATTAATGGGTCAAGGTAGAAAGATTGTTCTTGATGTTAATAATAATTGCTACTGTTAATTTTTTTCAATTATGATGTGAAGATCTTACCTATACATGGTGCCATACACAGCTTGTGAAACTATATACAGCTTGCTAAATACTTTCTATTTTCTTACTGTGAGCCTGTGAAGTGGGAAGGAATGATTTGAATTTTAGAGATAAGAAGTGAAGCTCAAAATATTGGTGTCACTTGTAACAAAGAGTAGTGAAGTGATAGAGCAAAGACTTCATTCATTTACTTAGCAGATATATTTTCAGGGGCCACTAGGAATTGATGCCATTCTTGATGGCAGAGAAAACACAAGTAAACAACATCTTTGCCCTTGTTAAATTTTATTCTCTTAATTCCAAGTTCAAAGCTGATAGGTTTGATGGATTTTTGCCAAATTTTCCCATATAGTCTGGTCCCAAACTTCATCCAGTTCTGACTTCATCTTTTACTATTCTTGGTTGCTTAGTGAATTCCAGCCATGCTGGCCTCCATGCCTTCATATTACTACTACTGCCTGAAATGCTTTCCTTTTGTAGCCTCATGATTTATTTTCCCTCTCCTCTTTAAAGTCTTGACACAAATACCGCTTCAATGTGGCATCCTCTGATCCTCATGTTTAAAACTTCAGCTACTGTCAGCAAAATTCCCTGGCCCCTACCTTTTTAACCATATTCTTCTCCTCAGCATTGAATGTTACTTAACTTACTCATTGATGCTGTGGATGGATGGTCTCTTTCCCTTCCACTGAACTTAAGTGGTGTGACAATAGTGATATGTGCCTGGTATCTGCAGCAGGGCCCAGCAAGGAACCAATGAGTGTACTTGGAAACAACTCTGGCACTTTTGTATCATGATATTTTTTTAATAGTTATTTCTCATATTCCCAGCCACCAGTGTTTTATTTGATAAGGACTGATAGTGACCCTCATTAGAGTTTGTAGATCTTGGGTTTCTCTTAAATTAATATCTGTTGTACTTGTTTACTACCTAAAAATAATTTGACTTTTCTTTTTGTTGGTCATGGGCTTGAACTCTAGGCTTGGGCGCTGTCCCTGAGCTCTTCAGCTCAAGGCAAGTGCTCTACCACTTGAGCTACAGTGCCACTTCCAATTTTCTAGTGGTTTATTGGAGATAAGAGTCTCTCGGACTTTCCTTCCTGGGCTGGCTTTGAACCATGATCCTCAGACCTCAGCCTTCTGAGTAGTTAGGATTACAGGTGTGAGCCCCTGGCCCCTGGCCAATTTGACATTTTAAGCAAGAAATGTTGCATAATCCATTATAGCTTAAAGATATTCTAGCTACCTGTTATGGATAACAAACTACCCCTAAAACAGTACCATGAGACCATGCTTGTGGACTCTGTGCTTCAAGAATTTGGGCAGAGTAGTTCAAGGTGGTTTGTTTCTGCTTCACTATGTCCAAAGCCTGCCTTCATCAGAAGGTAACTCAAATAGCTGGGACTGGTTTTATTTAGGGGTGTCTTCAGTCACAGGTCTAGCAGTCAATGTTGACTTTTAGCAGAGATGCCTAGTTGTGGCCTAGGCTAATGCACAGCATGTGGTAGCAAGATTCTAAAAAAAGACTTCTCAAGAGACAGGAAGAGGCTGTCACTTTCTAAAGCCTAGGCTTGCAAACTGGCACAGCATCACTTTCTGTAAGATTTTGGTGGTGAAATAGTCACAGTTTAGGAACTGGAAGAAGAAACATAGACACTTCCCCATTCCCCACTTCTTGGTGAAGTAGCAAGGAATTTGGAGGCTATGTTGTTAAAAAGGTATATGTCCTTTACATACTTTTTAAAATACTTTGTTCTGCTACCCCCGTCCACCCCCAATAGAAAAGAGTATTCAGCTAAATACTTGTCTCTTTCTTGGTAGCCCCTTGCCCTTACATCCCTTCCCTATGTGTCTGAATTAAAAGCCAATCAAAACAAACAGTCCTTTGAGGCATTTGTGGACAGAGGAAGTAAAATGAAACTGAATCAAAAAATACTTGGAGCTGGAAAGCTTTTTGTGAATAAGCTTCAGCATGTCCATGAACATCTTGAAATGATATGTAAAGTTAGTTTGTACAATTTTGGGCATTCTCTGAGTAAGAGACCTTAATAAAAGACAATCTCAAGAGACAAGAAGAGGTCTTAATACCATTACGTCTTAATGTCATTTTTAAATATACATGATAATAGGTTTTTAGACCTCTTGCTCTAATTCGAAACAGAAGTATTAGCTTATTTTCTGTTGATTTATGGAAGCATAGCAGGGGAGTCTAGGGCTCAAGATTCCTGATGCAGTGCCTTTTTTTTTCTCTCTTTATTCAGATGGTCAAGTTATAATGATCTTGTTTGATTACAGTATCATTCTTTTTTGGGGGGGAAAGGGGTGCGTCGGTCTTGGGGCTTGATCTCTGGGCCTAGGAGCTGTCCCTGAGCTCTTCAGCTCAAGGCAAGCCCTCTACCACTTGATCCACAGCACCACTTCCCATTTTCTGGTAGTTAATTGGAGATAAGAGTCTCATGGATTTTCCTGCTTGGTCTGGCTTTGAACCATAATCCTTAGATCTCAGCCTCCCGAGTAGCTAGGATTTACAGGTGTGAGCCACTTGCACCTGGCTTACTGTCACATTCTTTATTCTAAGGCCTGAGGAGTAGTCTTATTTTACTAGATTTGGAGAATGCAAGAGGGAATATAATTCCCTTGAAAGTTGGGAATCTTGTCTGTGTGCTCATTGCTATATCTATGTCTAGAACAATGCCTGTTATATCATAAGCATTTAGTAAACTATCTGATAAAAGAATAAATTAGCTAGCACTAGTGGTTCACGCCTGTAATCCTAGCTACTCAGGAGGCTGAGATCTGATGATTGCAGTTCGGAGCCAGCCCAGGCATGAAAGTCCTTGAGACTCTTATGTCCAATTAACCACAGAAAACCAGAAGTGGCACTGTGGCTCAAAGTGGTAGAGTGACAACACCCAAGGCCAGCCCCATGATGACTCCTCCCCCCCCCCCAAAAAAAAAAGAATAAGTTGTAGCCGAAATTATATCTTGTTCATCTTTAATCCTCAGTCACCTAGTATGGTGATTGGTACATAATAGGTTCTTCATACTTCTCTGAGTGAAAACTCTAGGGAACTGCGAATTCTCATCAGAATTTACTTTATTCTGTTCCCTTAATATTGTAGATAGCTTTGTAACATTAAGGTTCCACATCTGTCAGTGCTGTTTTTATTCAGTCAGTATTGACTGTTGGAACAGCTCCTTTTAGGACAATCTCATATGGGAGCCGGATAAAACTTCATATCTGTTCTCTTCATTTTAGGAACTAGAAACTGGAACCAAAAATAGAGTAGAGGATTTATT